TGTCTGTTCTTCATAAAGCGTAGCTGGTAAGTAAATATTTGTGAGTAATGGTTCTCAAAGTGGTCTACATAGATTCCCAGAGGTCCATAGCAACTTTCAGGGGTCCACGTCAGCAAAAAAAAATTCGGGATCCGCCAAATGAAAATGGAGGTCTACGGTAGTAGATCACTTCAACCACTATAATATCTATTTACTATATCTACTATAAGAAGATATATACTATATTTTAAATAGAATTAAAAAGTAAACAAAAATAGTATTCTCGTGTAAAAAAACGTATAAGTTGTAGCATGAGAAGACATTCAATTTATGGAATATGGTTGAGCTTGTAAAGACCCAATTTGCTGACTATTGATATATGGAGAAATCATTTTAACCCGAATCGTGAGTAATAAAAAGTGGATATTATTACCCCCGGTCTCCTGTATTGTTACAGGGATGACATTTTCCATGTGACGGGTTCGGTTCGTTAGTTGGTTATATTTATAATACGATTAGGAAGACAGTTTGTTTGGTCGCATGCGACGCCGCCTGTCAACTGAAGCTGTCTCAATACGCCGTGACTTTTCAGAAATTGTTTTACAAACAATGTGATTCGTGACGCTGATGATTAGATTTTAAATTGGCCATATGACGTACAAAGCTATTATGGTTGATAAATACAAATGCTCGTACAATTCAAATGGTAAATATCATTTTGAAATGAAATAAATCTCTGCTTTTGACATATAGTTAGTTGGAAGCATTTGAGGTAGAAAGAATAACGATTGTAATGAACTGAATTCGGATATGATGATGAAAAAAGTACATGTAGAGCTATTCTTGCAAACTATTATAATTGATTTAAAATATGTAGTACTAGAAGAAATGAATATATAGGGCAATTTATTCATTTATAAAGCTATATGTTAGTATTCATCAACAAATTGTTGTACTATTTTATTTAATTTTTGCAATAATTTATTTTAGTAAATTATTAAATATATTATCAGTTTGATAAAAACATTATCATTTTTATAGACATACTTTTCGTATATCAAGGCTATTTGAACGTTAAATTTATTTTCAAAAATAGTCGACTTTGACAGGCTCCCGTTTAAAAATGACCTAAAGTACCAAGGCAAATAAAGTTAAAAATTCGCGCTACAACACAGTTAATTAAATTATAAAATTTGTTAAATTAAATTGTAAAATGATACAAAATTCTTTACTTTCATACTACAAAACCTCTGCGCATGTGTAGCTACCAATGTATTTAGAGATTTATTATTTAAGGTAATTATAAATAAATGTATTTGGTTAAATGCACAACAGTCAACATAAAAACGTGAGTCATTTCTAACATAGATGATGAGATTTATCTATAATTTTATGATAATACTGAAACTGATACTGTCAATAAAGACAAAACGTACTCGAAACTATGAACGAAATAAATAAAAGTTTTCAAACTGAATATATTGAGCAAATCGACTATTTTGTTCAATTTTCACAAATGTATATACTCTTCAAACCCACTCACGCCCACGTTCCCGGCAAAGAAACCCATTCGAAATGGCGTGTCTATCAACTTGTGGAATACTGAAACTGAGTTAGAGATCCGACTATCAGATTGCCTGGTATTTATGTTTATTTGTTTTGTATAAAATTCAGTTAACACTTCTCATCGTATTGATCGAGATATTGTAGCCAATAAAAATTTTAATAATAAAATATTAATATGTATTCATATAAATTAGGGATTTTATATTAGGGCTAGTTAGACCAAGACCGTAATGTAAAAGTTTGAATTGCGGGAGGCGGTCAGACTGAAATGAAAATTACACAAGTAAAAGAATGCTCACTTATCCAACTGAATACACGCTAGAAATAAATTTTTATTTAATACTTCAGAAATAGAAGAGACATTTAAATGTGCTTTTTAGACAATCTTAAGTATAATACCTTCAGAATGAATAAATGATGATTAATAGTGAGATCATTTATCTAAATAATTCTAGTGTATTTTCACTAACCAATATATAAACGCTTTTCCTTAACCATGTTTTTATAGTTGCAAAATTATATTCCAAAAAATTCCTATCTAACGAATTCAATCATCTCTATCATCGCTCTGCATGCATATTACGATGTAATCTAATATAGAAAGGCAATTTAGTCAAAGATCTCGTCCGTTTTGATACGTTTTTGATTGGGGATATATTCATACTTTCGCCGCGAGAATTATAGCCCAGAGGCCGGTTCTTCCATCTACCAGAAATTGTGTGATCGCTCTCACGATCGCGAGCTCTCCTATTGGGAGGGTGAAACGGTGCCCCAAAGTTTAGGGGTTGCACGGTAGATTTATCAATAACGCAAAACTAGCCAATTTGCAAGCATTTGCCGAGCCAGACGTATACACATATACAAACACATTACGAATCCTTGAAGCCCTTGGGGCCTTTTCGGTCTTTTATCGGAGATGCGAAGGTACGAAGAAGTGTAAATATATACGTATATATATATATGTATATATATATATACATATTTATAGTACCTATGTAGTTTTGCTGTTAATATATGTTTTCATGAAAGGTAAAAATTATATAAATTCCTGTGTTTGTATACTCGAATAGAGATAAATACTTGAAATATTTATTTTCTTAGTTTCCAATACTCCAATTATTGAAGTTTAAATAATTAAATTATTTAATCTACCATTGTAGTGCTAAGATATGATAATTTGCGCAAATAAATTACACTATCTTGTTTAGTTTTGTTTCTACCAAATGGCAGTTAAGATTTTAAAGTGGATTGAAAAGTATGAGCAAGATAAAACTGCAATTTTGAACTGCATTAGTTTCTTCTATTTAATTTGATAATTAAATATCTACTATTTTAGCTTCTTGGCGTGTCCTATCAATATTAGCAATACACATTCCAATGACAAATGATCATTTCTGTTCTCCAGGTTTTATGTTTTATGTTTTATATGAACATGTCTGCGCTAAAATAACAAGAACGAACATCATGTAAGAAATATATCGCGCGTCGCAATAAAATCGATTTTTCACATTTTTTGCTGTTGTCAATATAAATATAAAACTTTGTATAAATATATTTTCCGATGCATGGAAATGGATATATATGCAAATGCATATATGAAGTTTTAGAGAATACATTTTCACGATGCAGTCTGGTACGGATGCACGAGAAACTATAAAGCATTATGATACATTACCAGTGTATCAACTGACGTTCTATATGTTATTTATTACATTATGTTTTCCGTGATCGTTGAATTTATTGTTTCGATGCCATGTGGGAATAGAATATCATTTGATTTCGTTCTATATTTTATATGGAATATTGTGATGGAATAAATTCTATTACATTTTACACAAAATTCTAAGCGTAGAATCAAAATCATTCATTTTCCGCAAGGTTCTAAGAATAAGCTTAATTCTGTGCTGTTTCATGTGTAAACTTTCATATGTTAATCATCCAAAATCAACAAAAATGTTAATATTTTTAAAACCCTTAAAATTTAATGTTACATCAATTGAAGTGAACACGTGAAAAGAGATAGTTGAAAGAAGATCCTTATATTTATTAATGGAAATATTCTTAGAATATTTTTACAAATTTTAGTATCATTATTGTAAAATATTATAATAGTATCATAGTACATGTATAATAATCAGTGCTTAAAATGCTTAAAATTGCTACAAATTTTTGAAAATAAATATAAAAATAAGGAACCTAAAAAACTCCAAAATGAAACAACTATTAAAATTAATAAATTCATACAAAAATTTGCGATTTTAATTTTCAATAACCTTTATTCAATGTATGTAAATGTTATTTCAATGTATCAATTGCATACTTTATATCATTTACTATTAAATTTTTAATATGCTCACGGCTTTATATATGTCCATATTTATGTACACACATAAAACCGTATCAAAACTGTATTTTACCAATGTATCTTATTACTATACATAATTCACATAGATATGCTTACATGCATTTTCCCATTTTCTCAACATGAGCAAACGACTAAATCGTGCGATCGCTATCCATTTATAGGCGCAGATAAAATCCTGACGATAAATCAAACAAGAATATATGAATATATAAACAATTTTTCACGATCTTCATGTACAGTATCTACCGTTGATATAGTGTATAAGCATTTAAATGAATATCCAAAATAAGAATTTTATCGCTGTTATTGCTACGAATCATGTATGTTCATCGAATTCCACGCCGATAAAAGGAATAAGCACCCCTCACGTGATACGAAAACATTTTAATAAAAATATTCCGAGGCGATTTGAGCTCATTAAACACTTTGTTGTCGCTTCTACGAAACAATAATGATATTGTATTTGATTATTTATTTGAGATATAAAAAGCCTATATATATATATATATATATATATATATATATATATTTCCGTGTATTACCAAAAAATGAGTTCCCTGTGTTCCACCAAACATCATTATAATATCGAAATATTCATATTACTAATGTAAAATGTTGGTGATATAAAATTTGGCTTTACTTTACGTTAATAAATGCATAAATAACAAGGTTTTCTAGATTTAAATTTACGCAACTTAACCATATCCACTCGTATTACTTGCAATAGCTAGTATTTTGCCGCCGGAGCAGCGGCATCCGAGTGGAAAGGGTTAATCATAATAATAATTAATCATAATATATAGGTACATTGGCATATAATCCTAAAATAGATAGTCAATAAGGTAAAAAGTAAATTCTTTCAATTTTTCCATAAATGAATAAGTGGAAACATGTATTTGTTTTTCTGATGAAGGATACATCTCCGAAACGTTCAATAACATAATGAAGTTTTTTGGGAAATCATACTAGGCTTATATATATATATATATATATATACATAAATAAATATTTATATATATATATATATATATATATATATATATATTATATGCATATATTATAAAAAACTAAATATTTCCTAACTACTAACCTGTACTCTGACTTCTGGCAAATTTACTTTCATCGCCAGTTCCTCTCTCGAATAAACGTCCGGATAATGTGACTTCTCAAAAGCTCGTTCAAGTTCATGCAACTGATACGTAGTAAAAGTCGTTCTATTCCTCCTATGCTTCTTTTTTCCTCCACAGGATCCATCGTTGTCACCACTCGCTGATCCGTCCATGGCTTGACCATTTCCGCCTTCGTCTTCGGACCCGCTGCCCAAGCTTTGTTGTGATACACCAGGAGACTGGTGTATGCTCTGGTGCATATCTTGGTGCAGGACCTGATGAGCGGAGGTTTGGAGAGAGGTGCCGTTTTGGGTGAGCTCGCAATGCCGCAATGTGGAGTAGCGCATGTCGGCACCATCGTTAGAATTGCAACTACCCTCACCTGGAAAAGAAATAATAAACAATAATTAGATACAAATTTGAAAACTTAGTTATTTCTCATATAACATTTTCTTTTTTTTTCAAAATTGCACAAATAGCATATGTTTTATAATGCATTATTAAAGCAAAAATGTAATCAAAAATATTTTATATCAAAATCGAAGTATCAAAATTTTGATTTTAGATCTTGTTATTATTTTTATTAAAAATGTTAATCAAAAAGCAATATTTTGCATTGCATGTTTTATCAAATAGCACCAATTATTAAAAATTAATATTAATGTTGTTTAAAGTTAAACAATACTCTTCTACATATTGTCCAAATTATTTTCCACAATATACAAATCATTACTTATATGATTTTAAGGCAAAGAATTAATTATATGCTGCTAATAAAAATTCAATCTCGCATACGAATTATTTACGCATTAAGACCGAAAGCAACCCACACATAATTATTCAGAAGAAAAATGTGGTAAAGCTGCCAATTAACAAAGAAACGTCTGATTAAAAAACTGAAATATGTCGCATGATGTGGTGACGGTCGAGAAAACTAACATAAATCATAGCTCGTTTTAGTTCGGGAGAAATTGTAAGTGTATTCAATTAAAAAATAATCAGCATTAGGTCAAGCAAATGAAATATTTACTTTGTGATAGAACAAGGCTGATAAAGTGGAGATCGGGTTGGGGTTATATTGAGAAATTGAATAGCAAAAATTTTCGAATTGCACATTGCATATAAAAAATTAATAAAAAACTGGTATATTTTTAAATTCATTTTATTTCTTGTTAACTTCCTTTCCTAAAAATTTAATTTATTAAAAAATTTCAAGTTAAAAAAAATTACGGTACGGAAAGTTTTAGAAGATTGCTTTAAGGCACGTTGCCAGCACCTTTAGTATCTTTATTTAATTGAAGCCAATCGGCTATATTATATGAAACATGATGATAAATTATTAAAATTTATTTGATTTTATCAACAGGAAATTCCAATAAATTAATTTTTGACAAACTGGTTGATTTTTTAAATAATAAAATAACTTACATATGCCGATAATTTGATAAAAATATATAGAAATTGTTGCTATGGACAATTTCCTAGATTTAGGGTAATATTAATTACTACTTTATTCTTGAGCTTCCTCAAATATGCTGCCTCAAGTAAATTTAAATATATTTGATTTTTTATGACATGTACGAGACATTATACTCGTATAATAAAATCATTTTCCCCAACATTCTGTAAATTTCCTGAATATTATAAAACAATATAAAAGTAGAATCCAAGTCGGGCAGCTCGTTTGTGTATGACATTAATTGCATGCACGGTAAATATTTTTCTATCATGCGAAACCGTAATTAACAATTACTCACTTTAGCATATCGCAAAAACTCTTATTGTTATTTATGTTAAGTCTCCGAGATTTCGTGTACGATCGCGCGCACACAATACATGATGCCGTTACTTTTATAATTGATATTTAAGTATGTGTGTACATTACGTAATAGAGGGTTGATTAATGGGGGTGGTCTCTGATTACTTGGAAAATTTATTCAGCGTACTTATTCATTTTGAAATCGATACAAAAGTTTGTAATTCCTCTAGCACTGTACGAAAGAAAATCTAGTTTAAAAGCTATGAAAATATTCGACAAACATAATATAAATATGTAATTAAAAGGCTTAATAAAAAAAAGGTTTGAGTATAGGTATAGGGTAAATCGAGGTAAAATAATTATTCGAACTCTGCTAATGAGTATTTTAAACAGAATACCAGATCGAGGTTATATACAGTGTTATCTGTGTAAAAAATGTGCCCATAAAATTTATATTTTGCATTAGTTTTAGCTATTATTTCCTAAAATCTCTGCAAAATTAAAAATAAGACATTGGATCTGTTTGCCACATGGATGACTCATTTTACGCCTGCTATGGGGTGAAAAGGGCCAAGTAACAAATTTTCGAAAAACAGCAAAAAACACATTTCTACAATGATGAATTAGTTAGGAGATTTACTGATCATAGTCAGATAGGTGTTTGTTTAGAATGTAGTATTTGCGGTGATGTAACTGGCTTGCTTTTAACAATATAATTGTTCAATGTCAAATTGGACCTTTGTGCCCCACCCTACTGTATATTTATATATTATTTAGAACCGAATATAAACATAGTAATTGGCAAATGAAAACTTTGGCAACATTATTTTGCTAATCCTAATTAAACCATAAGTGCATTCGAAATGTGACCAATGTAAAGGCAAAATATTTTCAAATAATTCATTAATTATTCTCATATTTATATAATGATATATAAACATAGCTAATTAAGTCATTTATGAAACAGTATAAATTATAAATTTGTTTTAAAACGAACAATTAAAATGAATACAAGAAGTATTTATTTTAATAACTACATAGTAGTAATTTTCATATCTTTGTAAATCAGTTTATTATAATTCCTTATAAAATTATTTTCATGTTTGTTCAAAACATACGTCAAATTAATTCACGAACCAAAAATCCATTTATCGTCGATTTAACCTGGAAAGGGACACGGATCCATTAAAAACCAAAAAAAAAACAATATATTTAATAACTCTGAATTATTCATGTGTTTATTTAATGTATGAGCCACGAAAAATTGAACCTAAATTGTGAAAACAGAAAAACATGAAAATGCTCTATGAGACGGCGCGGTGTACATAATAATTAAATCAACTTCCTAGGTGAATTAATATCAAATCTTACACGTTGTGTGTTTAATGGCTCAGACTATAATTTGACTATGATTAATTAGGTTTTTTTGTTAGGCAAAGGGAAAAGGTTGAGCTATTTGTTTTTCTGCTTTCTGATCTTGCGGGTAAAGAAATTTTTGGATTGTCATTGCGTTTGATAAAATCTTTGATATGAGTGCCTTTATATTTTTCATGCAAATACCTTAACAAGACCTAGCATGAGAAAAAATAAATGATTAATTTACATGTGTACTTAATATACAAAGAAAATTATTACTATTGTTTGTAATTTCATAAATGCTGATATAATCATTAGCAAAACTTCAAATAATTGTAACAATTAGAAAACAACTACAATGCTGTAAAGTTATCTCATAGCAATTTTCAATAATTATTATGTATTATTTTATATTTTTTAAATACTCTGAAATAATTTACTTTTAATTTTTAATAAACTCTGAAATAATTTAATTTATTTCAACAGTTTGAAATCACCTCTCTATAGGCTTTTTAAAACCCGTAAAATACATATTTATCTAAATAAAGCAATTATTTTGTCTCGCCTGTAACAGTGTGCAACTCTTGAAATCATGATGTTTTTTGCAATTATATTAAAAACTAAATTTATCCATAAATATTGCTTTTTGTATTGACAAGTTTTTTTCATTTTATTCTATTATAAATAATAAAATATTTCTATATAAATATGCCCAATTCCATATCGATAAACTTTACCATGTCAATTTTATCATGAACTATCAAAATTAGATAGATATCATGTGATATCTATAATAACCAAAAATTCTACGAAAAACACATCGATGCCTAGTTAGTGATGTTCCAGCGATTATCAGTAAATTTCCACCTAATTATATATTTCATCCATTTACTCAACCTATTTAATATCAATACTTTACCCCTCAAAACATACACCTGATGGGTTTGCCTAGACTTGTATGCGCCCAATTTTGAAACAGATAACACAATTTCACCTTATTTAGTATTTACCTGTTCATTTACACAAATGTTCTAGTAATTATAGTCCTAAAGTATTTTAATATGTGACCGAGCATGTATTGTCCGATGTCATGTTTGGGGTTGGTATTGGGGCAAACTAAACACGCGTGGACAGAGACAAATTTAGAAAAGAAATATATAAAATTATTGTACGGATTTATTAAAGTTGGTTGCAATAAAATGAGTGAGTAAACCATATTTTATCAGCCACAATGCATGTCTCCTATATTTTCGGAACGAATCCTATTCCTCTAACGGGTTATTTATTGCAACATTTCCACACTACGACGAATGTTCATAATAAATCCTTATATCATAAATATATATTTTTTTATTTTTGTACTCGAAACTTTTCAATAACAAAAATTTTCAAGTATTTTACTATTTGCCATTCCTGATCAAATGCGCCAATTTTTACATTTTTGCACATTTACATTAAACTATAGTACATTTTTGTTACAGAAGGGCTTCTCAAAGTTGACCGATATTAAAAAATTCAAATTCATAGTTCAACAAAAAGACTTAATTCTTGAAAACTTAAAACAATTGTTTTATTTTTTACTGTGGTTCTAGAAATGTTATTCACGATTACGGTTCCAAAGTTTAGATTAACAATATTAATAAAAGTTAACTACAATAACCAAAAATTGATCAAAATTTCACTTATCTCCGGGTTGCACATAAAAGTTCATAATTTCCCAACAACGTAAAATAATTTTTTTTATAAATTTTTTCAGGCCATTTATGGTAAATGCACTCTGTTTCGACTTGACGTTAAGGTCTGGGACACCCTGTATAGTTTTTTTTTAGATGTACGTGGTATTCCATACCACCGGCTTGCTATACGCTAAAATCCCAATAATTTTTTTTAATAATAGCTGAGCACTTCGTAGCCCATAAAAAGCATAATACATAAAAAAACAAAAGAGAGTATACAAATTATCCGAATCGACCCTGTAAAAACTGAAAATCGTGAAACGTTCTAGTTTGTCTTGTCAATGGTGATTATCGTGCCCAAAAACGCAGGTCTAATTACCCCCGCCTCTTCACTCTACTCTATAGAGATAAAGTGATATGATAACAATATGTTTGTTCGCTGTCGGGCTCATAGTTTCAGAATTTTAAATGAAAAAAAGGTCTAATGTACTTTTTTTTAGTTGTGAACACATCCCGATTAATGTGTTAATTGTTTCCGGATTTATCGTCCGGTAAGAGAAGATATGGTATTTAAACGATTGTAGTTAATAG